AGTCTCACCTGAGGCTAGCACCACAGAAAAGTTTCTGAAGTCTCCTTAAGTAAATGCATGAAGAAGGGACACACAAAGGCTCACAGCTGTGTGCTCTTTGTTTTCTATCCAAAATGACCCCTAACTTTTTGCAGTTGAATTGATAAGATGTTAGGGCTGGCTTCAGAGTGAGTCTGAGGCATGGCTTGAATTGGTGTTTCTGGACCTGCAGCAAGATGCCTTAAAGGCTGTTGGGACCAGCTTTGGTTTATGATGCTTTGCCTGTATATTACCACTTATGTACATTTCCAAAGATATCTGACAGTGTCTCAGCTACCGATTCAATGTATGTCTGCACAATGGCAGAAGCAGTCTTAAATAACCATGAATAACCTGTACACACCCTTCATGTGCTCCATAGACTCATTTATAGATACGTGCCTGTGTAATATTTACATCCTTAATATACCTCATTATAGTCAAGGGCAACTTATGTGCAGCTAGAAGCAAAATCGCTGCTATCAAATGAGAAATGCAGCCACTCCTTAAAAATTGAGAAGATTATCTCTGAAAAGCCTTTTCAAAAAACTCTCTCCTCTGTTATTAACACCCTAAGAAAAGATCTCAAGAAAAATGGGATAATTTTCCAAATGTAAAGGACAATATAAAATGATGTTTTTTCTGAATTTTTTAGGCTAAAACAGGTCCTCTATTATTAAGCAACAGCTCGTGTTGCATGCTAGAGACTATAAATGCTCTTACGGCCCTTCTACATATTAATTGTCCAATTTTATCAAAGTTAGTAATAATTTGCTTATTATCAGCACTGGGGTCTGAATAATATTTTCCTTTCCATTAAGTTTATTTTGTAGGATTTTTTGACAGTTATATCTTCTCATCATTAATGTTACTTCTCATCACAGACTGAACATTCACATGAAAGATCAAATCACTGTTATTTTGACTTGTTACAATTTTTCCATCTAGATTGTTAACCCGTCATTTTTATGGCATTTTACAGTAGTTGCTATATTTATAGCATACCTGCTAGTCCAATTCATTGTATAGACTAGCATTTTGGAGGATAATTTTAAAAGAAAACCTCTTTATGAACTCACATATACTAACATTAATCTGTCTCCCATTTCTTTTCTTTTAGTGTTTCCTGATATCCTAAGAGTATTATTTCCTTACTTTCCAATTGAAATTTTTCTGGTTTTTATTTTTTAGTCATAAAAAGGCTTCAAGCAGCTTTGGTGCGACTAATGCCATATTTCAGTATCACAGAAGAAGGGACCGTGATCTTACAACTGAAGTCAGAAATTCATGTGAGAGGAAAATTAAGCTCTATTCTTAATAGGCTTTCTCTATGAAGATCATGCAAAGATAATTCCCATTAACAGAGAGCTTCATAAGCATGATAGGATGACTACTGATAGTCTCTTTATAAGGTAAAAATTTTTTTATTTCCTTTTTTTTTTCCTGTATAGACACAAAAATTCAGGTATAAGAGTTTATGGGTTTTGCCTGAAGACTTGACAAATGTGCCCAAAACAATGCCACTTTTTCTTTTTTTTCCTGAAGTGTCTCATTCCCAAAGAGCCCTATGTGACTCTGGGACAAACCCTGTCTCATATAGGGGCACTGAGTCCATCTCACATTACCCCAGTGGGACTCATATGAATCCTATGGTTATTGTAACACATTGGTATCAGGAAGCATTAAGATCATTAGAAACAACAAGGGGCCAAGGAAGAGTTAAGGATCTAAATAGATGGGAGAGAAAGAAGAAAAGATTTTTATGCCACTTTCAAAGGTGGGAAGCAGAGTCGGTGAGAAATGAAATTAATTTCCAAGATCACACAAGGAATTACTGGCAAAGTTGAGAATTCAACTTATATGTCCTCTTTCTAAGTGCAGTCTGTTGCTCTTTTAAGAGAAAGAAGCAAATAAAACCTCAATCTTGATTATTCATACCTGGCTAATTTACATGTAAAGTCAATCTAAGACATTTTTTAGATAAGATTGTAAAATTAAAGCAACTGATAGAATAAATTGAGCTATATTCATCTGCACGCTGAACATGAAGATTTAAATTCTGCTATAAATAAGATGGGATGGCACTGGGAAAAAAGAAAAATATGATTAATAAAAATCTACATATAGTTTTTTGGTTTTGTGACTCACTTCTGCACATTTTGTGCCCAGCACAACAGGACGCTGGCTTAAGTGTTATGTAGGTAATAATAAACATGTTTGCAGTGATGGTATAGCTTTACAAAACTAAAAGGAGCCTCATAATTTGCATGCATGTCAGTAAGGTGATATCAGAAGACTAGCCCAATTTAAAAAAAATAAGGTTTATCCTGTTATGAGAGTTGAGCAGCCACATGCTTTTAGTCTGCTTCTGACATAGAAATCAATTGGATTTTGTCTATGATGTTGAAAAGAGCAGAACTGGACCCTGAATCTTCATACAGAAATACAATTACCTGTGTAAGCTGGGTAGTTGTACTCACTGCTGGACAGATGCTGAATTCTGAAAACCAGTTTAAAAAGTGCTGCGAAACCCAAATGCAAAATTATCATGTTCAGCTGATTCGAACCGCAAAATTGTAGGTGCAGGTACAAGAGACTGTGTGTACAGCTTTAATCTATGTATGTTTGATTTGGAACAAAATTTTTATTTTGCTTTGAAAAAAAGAACCTTCCAAGCAATTAAACAGACCAGTGAAGATACTAAAAATATAGCAAATGCTGTAAAAATGCCATTAAAATTATGGGTCAGCAGCAGTCAATCTGAAAATCATAGCAACAAGACAAATTAATGGTGATTTGAAATACATGTGAATATTCTGTTTTGCCTCTGAGGGAAAGTAAGAAACAAACCTAATGGAAAGAAAAAACGATTTTCAGAAACCTTTGCTGATAATTAATAAATTGTACCACCTCCAATGAAATATGAAGATGATCTTGCAGGTCTCTTATATGAGATACCATTGACAAACAGACCAAAATTTCTGCTGAAAGACGAAGATGACCTGATTGAGTCATCCAAAGATGCACTGCAATCAAGAAGCTGTCTTCCTGTCAAGGACCCTCATTCAGAAAAATACTGTTATTTGTCTTAGCAAAATGCTTCCTGGTCCAAATAATAAGGTAAAAATTTAGAAGTTTAAAAGAAATAATTGTTGAGATGTGTGTTCAGCATCTGCACACCTTTTCCCATGGCTCCTTCTCTTTTAGAGAGAGTCCAGGAAAGTCCATGAGGATGCAGCAAGGGTTGAAGCAGCTCTGCTCTGGAGACAGGCTGAGCGAGCTGGGCTGGTTCAGCCTGGGGAAGAGAAGGCTCCTGAAGGGGAGACCTTAGAGCAGCTCCAGTGCCTAAAAAAGGGGCTACAAGAAAGCTGGAGAGGGGCTTTGGACAAGGGCCTGTAGGGACAGGACAAGGGGGAATGGCTTTAACCTGACAGAGGAGAGATTGAGATGAGCTCTTAGGCAGTTCTTCCCTGTGAGGGTGCTGAGGCCCTGGCACAGGTTGCCCAGAGAAGCTGTGGCTGCCCCATCCTTGGCAGTGTTCAAGGCCAGGTTGGATGTGGCTTGGAGCAACCTGGTCTAGATCTTGGAGGAGATGCTAGTTGTAAAGGCCTACCTGTGGTTGTGAGGGCTTTTAGTTTGGCAGATATTTGAGTCTACTGAGCACCCCAGGTTCTTTCCTATCCTCAGCAACAAGCCATACAGGCATCACTGGAAGTGGTGATGGAAACACCATATCTGCGGGTCGTGAGCTTCCATGTGCGTCATGTGAGAGCAACGTGCTTCTACAGGGCTGTTTCTGACTGTGAGCATGGAGCCCATGAGGCCAGGGCAGTCCTTGCTGTGAAGTTTGTGCCAGCCTCAAGCCCATTATGGGAAGCCTTTGGTGCATTGCCCAACCCCACACTACCCTCATAAGCCATATTTTCCAGACCACTTCTTAAACACACAAGAGATATTCTTGTGCTGCTGCAGCATAGGACTCCTCCTCCTGTCAGGTGTTAGTATTGCTTTGATGAACTGCCAGGATTTAGGGTAGCTGCTCATCCCTGGAATGCCAATGACTGCTTGGTATGGCAATGCCATCAGGAAGCTCCCCTAAAATCTGATAAGCCAGCTCTGTCGCCCAAAATTTTGGCTGTTTTTTCCTAAGGCACCTCACATCAGATATCAGGATGCTCACAGATAACCAGAAGGACAACATCTACCTCTTAGAATTACACTGATGCTAAGGCAATATGGAGCTCTTGTTTCAATAACTGCTGTGACTTCCAGAAGCTGTAACACACTGTCCTCCTGTGCAATATAGTGCTTCCTGCCCAGAGAAATGCTTACTGAGTTATTTATTGTCTTTCTACAGGTCTAAAAATCTGTGGAGTTTATGACATCCTTCTTGCCTTCTGCACTTCTGGCCACAGCTCCCTCAAGCTGTGGAGCAATGTACCAGAGGGGCCATAGCTGCAGGGATCAATTTCAGGAGCGTATTTTATGGTTGCTGAACTAAAATCTTTGGGAATGAGAGCTTCAATGCAGGCAACATTTCTTAATGGCCACCCAGCATGCCCAAAAGGTTGTGTTTCATGTTCACTGCCATCTGCTCATCCACAATACAGCTTTTTGCTTCCTTTTTCCATGGAGTGTAGGGAAGCTGCAAGAACCCTTAAAAACACAGCCTTTAAACATACCCTATTGGAACAGGATTTGTTCACTGGACAAGAACTGTACCCCCACCTGCTACAGATTTGCAAGTAGCTTTTTCTGCAACAGCAAAGGGCTCTGCTGGAGTGGCTTCCAGATATATTTTCCCATGGATACACCAACAGGCATCCCTTGCTCCCAACACCACCCCCCCCCCCCCCCCCCCCCCAACCTCCTGCACCTTCTGCGTGCCAGTTCTATACAGTCTGGGAACTATCTCTGTGTTCGATTTCCTAGCAGTTAAGGAATATAGCTATCTGAATAGGTTATGTAAAGAAAAAATAAAATTAAAAGAGAAAGATTTTATTCTGAATTCTCCTCCCAGCCCCTAGTGAGAACTCAGTTTCTTGTAAGCTGCACTTCTGAGTTTTACTCCTACAGTCATAATATACATGTTCAGCAGTCCCTGAACGACAGCTTCAAGAATGTGAGTTCCTCGGTCTGGTGTTGCCTTTGAGGCATAGATAACCTTTGCAACATTTCCTTCTTTGTCAGCCACAAGTGGGATGTTTGCGCGAGTCCATCCAGGAGCTGGGGTTCAACTTGCTGCAGCTGGTTCTCAGTATTTCATGTCAACGCAGGAGTGTTTTGGGGTTCTGGTGGGTCAGCACAAACAAGTTAGTCCCTTGTGCAGACCCTGTGAACCCTGCAGCTTGTGTTAATAATCAGGCAACAGTGTCAGACACTGCCGGTTGTGTGGTTTGGTGCTCACTGAGCAGAAAAGTAAAAAAAACCCCAATAAATTAGACCAAGAGGAAAACCAGAAATTATTTTGTATACATGACTTCTGTGAATTAAGAAAGTTTCTAAGCTCAATACTGAGGTAATAAAGCCATTAGTATTAGAAACACCTTATTTTACAAAGCTGTCTCTGCATACTGTATTGCCTATTCTGCTTATACTGCTTCAGTCAAGTCACACAGTTAGCTTATGAAATGCAAACTCTGAAATCTCAAACCTGTTAAAAATGCTTCCCATTGCCAAACAAAGCAAAAATCTTTCCACTTTGGAATGTGCAACTTTCTGTGATCAACTAAGTCTGTTCTGATGAAAATAAATGTGGAATTCAGATCAATGAAGCGTATGTGTGAAAGGGAAAGAAAGAGAGAGTGAGTGACTGGAAGTGAGAAGTGGAAGGATCCGTGTATCCTTCAGTTTCCATATCTTCACATTCTAGCTAATAAAAGAAATATATAATAGCTTGTAGTACTTCCAGCAGAAATGGGAAGATGTGACTGCACAGTCTGCAGCGAGCTTGAATCATGTGAACCAAATGGAGTATCCTGTAGATTTTCTATAGATCTGCTCTCCACACACTTTCTAACCTTTAACAAAGGCAATGAATCTCTGCTGTGTTGTAAAAATCTGTGTGCTGTGCTAACGTGACACTAATGAGAAGTATCTTAAAGGATTTATCTTAAAGTATCTTAAAGAAGTTCAGGTTACAGAACTTCAGTAAATAAATCTGATTGTCCACCTGTATCATTTTGCTGGGATATGTTTTTTCATTGGTTTTTAAAGAGAAGCAGGTGTGGGGTGACTAATTTAAGCTGCAAAACCAAAAAGTTTTGTGGTTTGCTGCTTCTGTGATCTGTCTTCCCCACCCTCTGAGCTCTGCAATGTTTTGGCAAAGATTCAGCTCCTATATGAGATAGCTAATATAGGCCTGTATATTAGAAAGACTATTAAGTAAGGTGAGAAGACAAAAAAGTAGGTGCACTAACTCCCCACAGAGTTCCATTACTGAACCATTCCCAGGAACTACATTAACTTGGGACTGCTGAAGGCTAAGTACATGGGGCAGCCGGTAAGTACTACCTGAAAGGATGTCCACTCAACCCACAGGACTCATTCCTGCATTATATTTTGCCCATGGGATACTTTCTCTCTGCTAATTCTTAGGTGTATCAGGCGAAATTCCTCCTGGATGTTGCTCAGGGACTGATTAGTCCCCTTTTAGGTCATGGCATTCTCATTCCAGCTTCATCCAGCTGAGATACATGTTGGCACCCTGCTACAAAATTATTAGAGGCTTGGCTAAGTGCAAGGGTAGATTGTGTTTATCATATTCTTGTCAGGAATTTGCCACTGAAGATGTATGTAAGAAGTATGCAATGTAGAACTCTAATGGCGTGTACAGAATAGGAAAATATTTTTTGTCATTTCTTATCCTGGAGTGGAGGAAGGACTGACATCCCATTAAACTGATACTATTAAAACATGACTTGCAATCCTGATAAAGTCCTTTAGTTATCCACTTTTTTTTCAAGAAGCCATTTTATGGCCATTGCCTCCCAGGACCTTGTCTGAAGAAGGATGAGGGAAGATGCAGAGACTATGATGCTCTGAGCAAACAGGCGAGACATTGCTCATCTAGATCATACTTGGAGCTTGTGGTTCTGACTTTCTGGAGTGCATGATGTGGCACTCACTTTGCATGGGGTGGTAAATTTCCCACTGACTTTGCAGTGATTGTTCTGGAAAGTATGTCTCATGCACACCTGCTAACAGAAATTTAGTGCAAATCTTCCATTCTTGAACTGGTGGCTGCAGCCCTGCTCCAGAGCTGATCATTCCCTCTACAGAACCAGCTACAATGCTGTCAGTGCAAGCGCCTATATAATATGCCTCTCTTTAAAAAGTTATGGCTTTCCTCTCTTTTATCCAACCTCTTCTTTTCCTTGAGAACATATTTCACCCATGCTGGCAATGCTAGTAACTCTGAAGGGGACACTTTCTTTTATATTTCAGAAGCTTTCACATTGTGCAGATACTGAAGAGTCCTGAAACTATAAAAGTTATATATAAGGGAAATTCTGGTAACATTATTAATGCCTGTCATTTTCAAGATAAAAGCATTTCCCCAGTCTCCTTGTGATCTGATGGATTTATTGGCACATAAAATTACTACCTTTCAGCCTTGAAACCAAGTTACATCTTAGTGACCTGATTCTCCCCTAGATCAGCAGACAGCCCCATACTGGTGTGAATACTTTACAGCAGGGACTAGATTCTGCCTTGGTGGGATTCGCTATCCCTTGCATGTATGGAGAGAAAAAATCTTGAGGATAATGGCTACTTTTTCAGTGCAGTATAAGGAAGATGCAAATTGCTACTTTCTAAGCTTCACACAACTTGTATTACAAATCATACAGCATCTTGCCAATGCCTCTTGTTTCATTCTGGGTTATGTATTATAAGCACTGAGTATGTCTGAATGCACCTGCCTAATTATTGCTGAAATATCCACTGTTAACTAAGAATATTACCATGAGGAAACCATTATTAATACATAATATCATTGTGCTATTACTATTATTGTTATAATTCTTTTATTCTTCAACCTCCATTTTCAGTGGTTTTCATAGTAAAATTACATTTGAGGCTAAAATCTGACATTTGTTCTTCTCAAACCAGAGGAAATGAAAAAAAAACCCAGCTGAATAAAATCCATGCAGTCATTTCAGAACAATGGAGCTGGGGAAATATTATGGGGCTTTTAACAATTAAGTGTATCCCTCCCTCCCTCCTTCTTCCTTCCATCCTTCCTTTTGTCCTTCCTTTCTTCCTTTATTTCTCTCTTTCTTTTTCTGTCTCTTTGTCTTTCTTTTATTGCTTTCTTTCTTTTCCATTACCCACTCTCTCAAATAAATAGAGTTTGAATTTAAAGATCTAAATTTGGCATGTGCACAGTTTTCAATGAAGATCACATGCTTTTGTAAGTTTGGCAAAAATGGTTAAGAAGCACATTACATGCACAGTATATATTATTTTTCCATCCAGCTTCATCCAGCTCAATCCTCTGGGACACAGAGACGGCCTGAGAAATGGGCAATGCTGTTGATTCTGAATGAAACCACTATGAGCAGAGAACTTCTAAGCCGCCAGGGACATGGATGTGTAAACTTCATGTCCCTCCCACCTTTACGATGGCTGCAAAGCTTTAAACCTGTCTGCCATGTGAAAGCCAGGCCTTCTCTTCAGCTAGATTCACAAAAATATACTCTGGCTGCCTTTAATAACCTAGAGTACAGCCTAAACTCTGTCCTTCCCAAGCTATTTTCTCCAGCTCTTTCTTTCACCATGGACTCTGTCCCTAAGGGTAATTAGCTCAGGAGAGACCCAAGGTGTCCTTGTTATTCTGCTTCCACCCTGGAAGCCAGCTCATCCCCACCCCTCGCTGCTGTCCTGAGCCAATCTCGCAGCCCCCTGTACTCCCACTGTGTTGGTGACACGGCCTGTGGTTTGGGAATGGCTGCCATAATTAAAATGTTCAAAACTGAGGAGCCTGCAGCGTTTGATTTATGCAGAAAAGCCATAAACTAAATATAGCTTTGCTAAATGATGGGTAAGTTGGGATTAAGAGTTTTGCAGAAATAAATGGCATGTATGTTCACCAAAACAAAGAAAATTATTAAACAGGAATGTGGAGATAGAAGTCAGGAGGTTTCTTCGTGCCTCCACCTCCTTTCCTCCTTGCTCCATTGCCCCTTCTGCTTCCCATGTTGCCTCTGGCTCAGCCAAGGCAAGGATTTTCCAGGTGGATGGTGCAGCTAGGGGTTGCAGGCAGAGTTGTGTGGAGTCCCACATGCCTGGTTGCTCCATGTGATGCTGGAGTGCCTCTTTAGGCTCTCTTGTAAGCTGGCATATGTCCTGGTGCTGGTTTCTTGATAATCATTCTGGGATGGCAAGCTTCTAATGCTCCTTTGGTAGGTCTAACAGGCTGGAGATTGCTCTAGGCAGGTGGTGTCATGAGGCCTAATTTTGCTGGTATTAAATGCCAACTAATTTTTTTTTATTATTTTTTTTTTTTTTTAGGACACTAAATTGCACTGTTTTAAAACAGGAAGTCTACGTTTAAAAGCTGTGTAAAACCATTATGCTGTAGCCAGCACTCCAGGCTTTTCTAATTAGGTCATTTGGAAAAAAGATGACCTTTTAGTTTCTGTGCTACTTTTCTAGGGTCACATGTTTCTAATTATAATTTGTATTTTACTTCACTAAAGCTGTTGACAAGCTGTGACTCTATGTGCTCGTGTGTGTGTCTCTGTGTCTGTGTTTTGGTTTGTGTGAGGGAGAAAAAAAGGTCGAAAAAGAGATATAGTACACATGCTTCGTAGGGTTGCTGTCTGCAAGTGTTCAGCCAGCAGAAGAGGACATGTATGCACTAATTTTAGGCTGGTCCAAGTGGAAGCTTGCGAATCTATAAGGTGAAGAAATCCAAAAGAGTTTTCCAGAGCCTATGTCCTTTTCAGCCAGCTTCCCCTGAGCTTGTCCAAAGTCCCTTCATGAGTGTTTGCTCTCTCTTGGGCTGAGCACCGTGGGGAGCAGGCTGTGAGGGATGAGCAAGCTGCTTTTCAGCTACTTTACAAATGTTAGCCAGAAAGTCAGCAAGGAAATGGCTCTACAGCTGGGAAAATACAGAAAGACAAATTTTTAAAAGGAAGGAAATCTGCATTTTTTGAGCTGCATTTTGAGTACAGAAAATCTGCCATCAGAAGCAGACATTGATTACAGTTGCTTGATTCATTCTGTGTCATACACTCAGCCTTGTAGTGAGCACAACTGTAGACCAACACATGCTTCTTGCAAAACAGTAGGGAAGTACAAGAAAGGGCCTTGATCTCTTCATGAACTGGTCCATTCATGGCTAACAGCACAGAGATGTACACAGAGAGGCTGAGAGAGCTATGCTTGTTCAGCCTGGAGAAGAGAAGGCTCCGGGGAGAACTTTAGATCAGGTCCAGTGTCTAACGGGGCTACAGGAAACCTGGAGAGGAGCTTTGGGCAAGGACCTGGAGGGACAGGATTTGGGGAAATGGCCTTAACCAGTGGAGATTCCCCTTAACCAGAGGGGAGATTGAGATGAGATCTTAGGTGGTGAGACCCTGGCACATGGTGCCCAGAGAAGCTGTGGCTGCCCCACCCCTGCCAGTGTTCAAGACCAGGTTGAACAGGGCTTTGAACAGCCTGGTCTAGTGAAAGGTGTCCTTTTCTGTCACAAGGGACTGTAACTGGATGAGTTTTAGGGTCCTTTCCAACACAAACCATTCTGTGATTCTATGATTCTATGATATTGGAGTTGCATGGCCATGGGCAAGGGCAGTGTGTTAGGTCCTAGGCACTGAGACTAAATGAAAGTGGAAGTCTTTTGAGTGTAGATGGCAGTGGAAGGAAATGAGTGCTGTGCTTCGGGAAGCTGTGAGGTCTGTTGCACTAGAACCGACTTCATCTATTGGTTCTGCTGCTTGAAAATAAAAGGTACTCTGAACTGCAGACCCGTTCATTAACTTTGGATTTAGACCACCAGCTTGTCTAAAAAGAGTTTAGTCCTTTGTTAACTAATCTTTTGTGCACCCCTGCTTAAACTGTGGTAGGTAGTAGTAAATTCTGTGGTGCAATGAACTGTTAAGAATTTAGATCTTCTGACTCAGCATAGCTGTTCACTGGGCACTCATGATTATTTCAATTGTACAGTAACTGGAAAATGAAATCAAGATCCTTGAGATCTAACACTGGGTTGTACTCACTGTTCCAGGAATGAATTTCATCTCATCATTTCTCATAGGGAAAAGTCTGTTTACAAAGAATACCGAGAAGGGGAAAGAATTCCCATCTGTGATTGCTGCTTTCTGAAGATTATGCTATAGCTTCATGTGAAACAGAGAAAGCATATTTCACTTCAGCAAGTATCATGAGGCAGTTCTTAGTGAGAACATGGTTGGGTGAATTTTTATTGAGAATGTATCCCATGGGTTAAAAATTGGTTGTGCTGTGACAGCACAGGCAAAAATCTACCTTTGTGAATGGCACTGATTTAGAAAAACACCAAACAGGTGCTGAATGTTAAACTTGAATTTTTAGATGTCAGTTTTGAAACAAAGCACCAGTGCTGCACAGGCTTCCCAACTGCAATCTGAAATGTTGCTATGGCAGTTTTCAAGGTTTCTTTAGTTCTTGGCTATCTGTAGGTGGTTTCCAGGAAGAGGCACAAATCAGCATTTGCAGAAAGACGAGTTACCTATAAGTTGATGTTAAAATATAGCTGGCATTTAGTCTTTATGTGTGTGATCATCTCTGTGTACGCACACCCAGGCACAAACACACATACATGTGTATCACTAACTTTCATGTGAATTTGGTGTCTTGTAGTGCTAGTCCTACCATCAGGAAGTGTAGGCTTAGAAAAACATTTCATGCACAGCATGAATATCTAGCCCAAGTGTGCAAATGGTGGTACTTGCCTTGTGATCATCATTTGCAACATTTGTGATGATGCTGTATGTGGGTTTGCAGTTGTGTAACATCATCTGCTCTCCTTGTGTCTGGCTGCCTGAGCAAGCACCTTGATTTCAAAGTGAAAAAGAACATATTTCCAGGAAAAGACTATACCTGACATGTTCAGAACCGAGCTGAAAATCAACCAACCATGTCACAAACAACAAAAAATGAGCTTTTAACCTTAGTCTGAAAAACGTTTTTCAGAATTGCTTGAAAGGTAAGTTTACTTACAGATCTCTAGCCTGGATCAATGGCACAGTAGTACCTTTTCAATGTGAAACCTCTAGTGTTCAAAGGAAAATAAATTCATTAGTCAAATCATGCATAACTTGCTTTCTTATCTTTGAGATTAACAGCAAAGGTTGGGTGATAATCAAGGGGTACGGACACTGCCCAATCAGTGTTTTGAGGATTTCTGTGAATAAGATAACAAACTGCTGATGAGGTCCACTCATGCTGTGTGTCAGACTGCACAGTCGTTGTGTGCAATCAGTTCAGTCCAAAGCTCTGTGGGGATGCTTTGAAGGCATCTGAGCTTCACCAGGACCCCCTGCATGCTAAAAGGGAATTGCACATTCAAACAGTTCACTCAGCACCACAATTACTTGCATAAGGTGACACTTGGACTCAAATCAGCTGTCTACTAAGCAAAGCAAAAAAGCAAGCCAGCACAGTGAACACTGCAAAGTGGGGAGTCTGCTCTTGGAGGACAAATCCCTATTCAACCAGACCAATTCTGAGCCTGGGACCTCTTCCAATCCAAATTATTTTGTGATTATACATTATATTCACTGTTTTGTATTTTCATGTACAAGGTTGTGCTGACCTGGGTTTGCACATGTAGCTTCTGCACCATCCCCATGTTGGGTCAGCAGCAGCTTGGTTGTACTCAGCGTTGCCACGACCACTAAACTGCCACTGAAACCAAGCTAACCATATGGCAGCTGATACCATGCATAAGCAGGCAGAAAGACACAGGGCACGGGGTTTTTTCCTATCTACCAAAGTGAATGGGTCTAAAAACTGGAGAAAGGCATTAAGTACTGGTTTCATATATATTGGCTGGGTTCTTTCCTAATGCTAGTCTAGCACCTAATCCCTGGCTTTTCATTCTGTTTTTCTCTCCCCATTCCTACAGCCACATTATTAGTCCTGTCATCTCAAGATCTATATCAGAAGAGTTACAATTAACCAAGC